CTGCACCCCGAGCAGGGGGAGCTGGGATGGGGGTGTTCCTGCTGCACTCCGAGCAGGGGGAGCTGGGATGGGGGTGTTCCTGCTGCCCCCTGGGCAGGGGGAGCTGGGATGGGGGTGTTCCTGCTGGACCCTGGGCAGGGGGAGGTGGGATCAGTATGCTACTGCTGCACCCCATCAAGATGGCATAGTGGCATCTCCCCCAGACTGTGACAGGCCCTGTGGGTGACCTTGGCTTTTTGGAGCCCAGCTGTGACATTTGGCAGGGAGGTGATAGGCTGGGATCCCCTGCAGGGCCGAGTCTGGGGGGGCCCCTCTGGGAGCCAAGTCCATAAATTTGGGGACTGGGCTGGGATCTTTGCAGCTGAATCTGATTGCATCCCTACCCTGGCCACCCCATGGGTATGGGGGAGAGGATGGTGGGGACCTGCCCGAGGGGTGCATGTGGGGTGGGAAGTGCCAGGGAGCAGCGCTGGCTGCCGAGTGTCCCTCTTCCTGGTGCAGGAGAGGAGATCACTGCTTCCAGCCTGGCTCTGGCAGGTGCAGGATGCCTGGCAGCTTTGGGTGCCCTGGACATGGCTTTGGGACCCCCCATAGACGAGGAGGGCTGGAGGCCAAACCCCTGGCTGGGTTCTGACCCGTTAAACACCAGCACTGTGATCCTTTCCCCATGTAACAGGCTTTGGGCTTCTCCTGGCTGTGCCTCAGTTTCCCCATCTGAGTAGTGAGACCCCCTGTGATTCCTAGACCCCTTCCTGGCAGCCAAGAACTGGATCCCATCATCAAACCCTCACAGACATGGAAAATAAGAGCGGTCCCCATACGGAGAGAGCGGAGCCCCGGGGGGAGGCAGCTCTGCCAGCCCCCCACGCCCTGCTCCAGAGTGCTGCCCCAAATCGAATTCCTCCCCAGCTGCAGATGGCTGGCAATTCAATTTTCCCAGATCCCATCAGAGGCTGATAAATGAAGTCCCTAATCACTGTGCAGATCCCATTAGTGCCAGCCGTGCCAGGAGGGGTTGCAGGGATGGATGTGGGAATGCCGCGTTCCCCTTCCTGTCCCACTGCTCCCCGTTCCCCCTGCATGGGACCTGGGTGTCCCTGACCCCATGAGCCCCACTCTGGCTGCACCTCCAGAGCTTTGCCATGATGCTCCCAAGCAGAGCCAGGCCTGCAGAGCCCTGGCATGGCTAATCCACCAGGAAACATCCAGGAAAGTCCTGGAAACCTGGCTGGGAGGTGCCGGTGGCCAGTGGGGATGGGAAGGGGACCGTGTGCCAGGGAAATCTTTCCAGGAATACCATGTCCCAAGGATGTACATCATGCCAGCTGCCTCCTAGCACTCCTGGCAGTGCCAGCACCCAAGGCTGGGTGCCAGCTGGGTGCTGGGATGTCTGTGTCCTTCAGGGCGAAGGCATCCTCATACCAGGGATGCTCCTAACCATGGAGCAGTTTTCCTGTGGCTGCCACAGGACACCCTGTGCTTACCATGGCTTAGGGACAAGTGACACGGGGCTGAGTGGTGTCCCTGTCCCCCTCCACACCATGGGACATGGGTTAGGGACAAGTGACAGTGAGACCCCCAGTGCTCACCACCTCCCTTCTTAGAACAGTGAACTAATTAGAGACAAAGCAGTGACAGATCATTAGCCAGTGTTGGCTGTTCCAAGAAGGCCACGATGTTCTGGGGACGGAAATCCTTGAGGAGAGTGGCTGCAGTCCCTGTTTGTCCTGCCTGACAAAGGGACATCAACAGGAAGCAACCTTGACTCTGGCCCCATTCCCTCGGCCACGGGGGGCTGGGCTGGGATGTGGGGGGATGGATTAGGAGCACCCCAAGGGCTCAGGGGGTGCCAGAGGTTGGGAAATTTGCTTGGAGCAGTAAAAAGTCCCGCTGAGAACGTGCAGGGTCCATGGGGAGCAGTGTCTGCCTGGTTCTGGGCTGTGGAAATTCCACCTGCAAAGGGTCTGTGCAAGTGCCCTGTGCAGCGTGAGCGTGACAGGCCCCGGCGAGGCTGATGCATGGGGGAGGAGGAGGATGGGGTGAGGGATGCCCTGAGCTCCGGGGAGATGCTGGGCTCAGCATGGCTCATCCCACCTGGACCCAACTCCAGAGCCACCCTGAGAAGGTCTTGCACGGCTGTGACCCTCTGCAGGTGGGGACACCGAGGCAGGGAACCTCCACAGACATGGAAACTGAGGCAGGCATGGGCATGCAGGGCCCCTTTTGTGCTTTTTTGGGATGGCCAATTCCACAGGTTTGCATCCTCCAGCCCTGGGAAGCCTCAGTGTGGATTGCTGGTGCCAGGGTGGTTCTGTGCCAGGCTCCTGCACCCCAGCCCCTGCTCCCCGTCCATCCCTTGCCAGGACCCCAGGCAAACGACCATGGGGAGACGAG